AGGCTCCTGTTCTTGACTCACGTGTGCAGAGGTGTTGACACAAGCCAGTGCTAATGGCTCCAGTGACCACATTCTATGTGTAAGCTCTTGTGTAAGTAAATGTGTGGCGTGCTGATTAAGAGCAGACTCTAGAATTCGGTTCTGGTGTATATTCCAGCTCCACCACTCGGCCCTTATGTGAACTTGGTCAGGTTGTTTAGCCTCTTTGAGCCTTAGTTCCCTTGTCTAAAAGTGGAAATAATAATATAGTAGCTTATATGTCCATTAGTGGAAAGATAAACAAATTGTGATATATACATTCAGTAGAATACTATCCAGCCATAAAAAGGAATGAAATACTGATACATGATACAATGTGGAAGAATCTCAAAAACGTCATGCTAAGTGAAAGAAGCCACACAAAAGGTCACAGATCATATGATTCCATTTATAGGAAGTATCCAGGATATATAAATCCACAGAGACAGAATGTAAAGGCAGGGAGGAGAGGGGCATGAGGGTCAAGTAGCAGGTAGAGTCTCCTTTAGGGATGATGAAAATGTTCTAGAACTAGATAGTAGTAGTTGTTGTATAACATTGTGACTGTATTAAACGTCACTGACTTGGTCACATCAAAATAGTTAATTGTATGTTATGTAAATTTCACCTCAATTTAAAAAAAAAGAAAAAAAAACCTTAAAAAAAAAAACAGCTTATAAAACTGTCCTGAGAACGCAGTGAAGAAAAAAAAAAATCCTTGTGAAGTGGCATGGCCAGAACAGGATAAGCACTCAGTAAAAGTTATCTATTGATAACATTGCTCTTTTCATTCTTCTTTCTTTCAGCTTTTTTCTCCCATCATTGTAAATCTGTTTGTGTCTATGTGGTATCTTTGGGGACAAGTAGAGAAAAATTAGAAGTAAGAGAAGTTCTCAAAGTTCATTTTTTTTTAATTATTCAAGTATAACTTTTTTTTTGATCTTGTTCTCCATTTATTACCAATAGTGTAAGAAGCGTCTCTGGTACAAAAATACAATGTTTGAATGAGTGAATGTTTCCAAAATTGGAATCACACATCCCAGCTCTGTTCTTTGAATATCCAGCTAAGAAGGTCACCTGGAGAAGTATGCTTCCCTGGTGGGAAGCGCGAACCTACAGATGTGGATGATGTGGCCACAGCTCTCCGGGAATCCCAGGAGGAAGTGGGGCTGTGTCCTCATCAGGTGGAGGTTGTCTGCTGCCTGGTGCCATGTCTGCTGGTAAGGGTTGGAACGGAACTGGGTTTTCAGCTATCGAAAATACTGCTTCAGTCTTATGCAGTAAGTCCTCACTTAGGTTCTGCAACTTTGAGCGAAATGATGTATAATAAAACGAGTTTTACCATAGGCTAATTGATATAAACAAAAGTTAAGTTCCCACAGCTTCTCATCAGTGTTATAACGAAAAATGTTTTTCAGGATCTGCTATACTTGTATCTTTTCTTACTCGTAGGACTTTATCATACAGATATACTCACACAAATGCAATTGCTAAGTCAAAGAGACACTTTTATAATGCCAAATTACCATCCCAAAAGATTGTACCAACTTATGTTCGCAAAATATCATTTTAAGAGTCATCTCACAGATGCTGCCTCAGGTAGGGCAGAGACGACTCCCATTTCATGGGGGACATAAAGTTTACATCTGAAGCAACTTCTTCCTCCTCTCAGCTCACCTTATATATAAATAGACTGCTTTGGCCTGTTTTCTTTAGCTTACACAGAGTGTCATGACTTTAGCATTTGGAACAATATCTCTTCATTTCTTAATTCATGTATTTTGTTTTCTGCTTTTAGGAAGATGCGTTGCTAACACCAGTTGTAGGATTTATAGACCAAAACTTCCAGGCCCTGCCTAATCCTGATGAAGTGAAGAGTGTGTTCCTGGTGCCTCTGGAATACTTCCTGCATCCACGTGTCTACCGCCAGCAGCCAACACAGTCTGGTCATCTTAATATTCATTGCTTTGACTACACAAACCCTGAAGATGGTGTGACTTACTCTATCACTGGAATAACTGCAAAATTTGCACTGTTTGTTGCCTTAATTATTTTGGAAAAAAAACCCACCTTTGAGGTTGAATTTAATCTCAATGATCTAATACCATCCTCTGAAGAGTCTTTCCTAAGGCTTCATAAACATGCAAAAGGCAAGTTATGATTTATGAGACCAACACCCAAATAAATATCTAAGCGGCTTTCATGTGTGCTCATCCACAGACCAATAATGCCAGCTGGTAGATTTTGACAGGTGCGAATATCGTTCCTGCAATGTGAAGGTAAAAACCTTGCCTTATTTTCAATTGCCTTCTGTTATCTGAAAGAACAAAAGTCTTTCCAAAGTGAAAAATGTGTTTATAATATTGCATAATTTCAGCCACAATATATTAACACTATTTTTCTTACACATGTAAGAAAAAGTATCTGGTACATAGTAGGCACTTAATAAATATCTGTTGAATATATGTGGCTTTTATTTGTGAGAGGTAATATCTCTTTCTGACTGTTGCATGTGACAGAAACTCCTGGCCAGCCATCAGAGTCCCTTTCTTCCATGGCAGTAGAAGAAGCTGAGTCCAAACTTCCCAGGTGGAAACAGCATTACCCAGGACCCCTTGCAGTTAAATTATTAAATGTGGCTGTGGAACTTCATTTAGGCCAGTGGGATATAAGTGAAGTTGACCTTGCAGGTCATCTCCAATTTAAGAGATAAGCTGGCTTCCCTAGACTCTTTCCTCTTTCCATGAACTGCAACATGGGTTTATCTGCAACCCAGCCTTGACCATACAAATGAGGACAATTCCTGGGGGAATGGCAGAACCAAAAGGTGGTAAGAGCTTGAATCTCTGAATAACTGTGGAGCAAAGCAATTTGCCTCCCTGGGCTGTTCACTGGGGACTGTTTGGAGAAGAATAAAATTCTGTTACCTTCCAGCCACCGTAATTTGGGGTCAGAGGGGCTTGAGCAGAGGTATAATCCTAAATAATATACCATAACACTTGAACATGGCTGAATGGATATTCACACAAACTTGAGGTGTTGCCAACAGTTAGAATTTGAGATGAGCTGACATTTAACGTGTGGGTTCTGTGACATGCAAAAGATGCCCTTGAATGTTGGTAGGGTTTGGCAGTCATCATCCAGAGAAGCTGAAATGAAGGAATATGAGAAGCCCATATGCCTACCAATCAGGAGAAATAATGTCATCTCCCTTAAGATAATGAGAACAGGAAAATGCTGATTTCAAGCACAAGCCCCGCATCGAAAGTCAAAAAGACAAACACTCTAAATTGCATAACTTGGATCTACCACTTTTTTAATGGCCATCTCCACGTATCATGCTTTAGAGTTAACAGGAATTTCTGTTGAATTACGGTATTAACCATCCTGCATGAGGTCAGGGAAGCAGGTGAGTGAAGCAACATAACTTCAATTGTGTGATGGTAATCTCCCGTCTTATCAACTGTTTCTAGATTTTCAGAAAGCCAAATCATTTTTAATAAGACTTTGTTATAGCCGAAAACATGATTACCACACTAAACCCATCAGCCAGCCATACGTCCATTGCTGCTGAGTTTTTATTTTCTGAGAGTTGGCCGAGGAAAATATCCGTTCTGCTGCTTTATACCCATAAATGTTGAAATGCCCAAATCCGGCTCTAGCCATGAAAACAGATGTTGAGTAAGGTTCCCCATTAACATTCAGTAACTAGGTCTGAGTGAATAGGCCTAAATGGTTTCTGAACAATTATAAGAGGCATTTGCAAATGTGTGTTCACAATCTGACAGCAGTGTAATTGCCAGTAGATTGTTGGCCTCTGGCAGTACAGAAAGTTCCCTATTTTTAGCTGTTCAATTATGTGAACTCCACAGACCTGGTTGGTTTCTAAGAGTAGTTGGCCCAGTTGAAGTCTATAATCTGAATGACACTCGTGGCCTCCCACTTTAAGGGGCTGAATATTTAGTGATGGAAGTATCGTCCACTCCCTTTTTTTAGTGGTGTATTTTATGACATCTATGTTCAGGGTTCTAGTTAAACATTCTTTGATTAAAAGGAACCAAAGTCTAGTAAATCTGGCTCAAATGAAAGAAGTTATTGGCAGGGTGCTGATTGCAGGGAATCTACAAAATCACTGAATAAATCAGGCTTAAGAAGCATAGCAATGGGGACCTACCTCGATGGCAAGAGTTTGTGAACCTTCACTTTTGCATCCTGTCATTTGACAGTAATCTGTTTAGGTCGATGTATATGGACAAAACAAAAACAAAAACAACTCAGGGATTCAGTCTCTGATTCTTCAGAGAACAAGTCATTTAGTCTAGTTTGTGTCACCTGGCAGGTTTGCAGTCACCTGCAGCTATGTTCAAGGGCAAGGGTCAGAGTTGGACCACAAATGCACCCATTCCCTAAGTCCTCTGGGTCATCAGGCTGTGGGTGGGCTAATGGACATTCCCAGACATCTACTCTCTCCAGTCCCTAAAATCTGCAAATTCTGTGGATTCTGCCACCAGACAGCTCAGCTCTGTCCCCTCTTTTGCATCCCCTCAGCCTTGGTAAGCCGGTGGTTAGGAGCCCTGAGTTTGGAGTCAGGATGCCCAGGTCATTATTCCAGCTCCATCAGCCCATTTGGTGACTTTAAGCAAATTACTCAGTCTTTACAGGCCTCAGTTTCCTTTTCTGTAGTGTGGGAGAAATAAACATTTTGTTTTAGCGCCCTTGAGGGGATTAAAGGAGTTAACTGCACTTGACCCCTTCCCTTTAAACACAGCCAAATGCTCAGAACAGTGCCTGGAGGATAGTAAGGGCTCAATTACCTGTTAGCTGGTAATTGTTACATTATTATAACTGAGACATTTATTATAACAATAATAATAAGCAGTGTCATTTCTCTAATTCAGAACATCATCATTTTCCTACACCAGAGGTGTCTGAACTTACTTTGTTCATAGCAGGTGCCCTTGGCATTTCAGTAATTTTTTTCACAGGACATCTAAGTCAAAAGAAACACCTAATTTGTTTGTGATGTTGTTATAGACAAACAATTTAAAAAGTGTTTACATCTTACTAACTTGGTAGCTATTTAAAAATAAACCATATTACACTGAAAGAAAAATACTATTTTATTTCAATCTTAAAGAAGATGTATTCATGGGATGTGTGCCCCATTAGCTTTGGGCATTCCAGTTGGGCACGTAAACAAATGGAAGATTAAAATACAGTCATATGATAGGGATAAATGCATAGTCAAAAAGAGGAGGGATACCTCCTCAGATTTGGGACTCAGGGAAGACATTCCAGAGGAGGTGGTAGCTGAGCTAAGCCTTGATGGGTAAGGAGATACTACCCCAGGTAAGTAGGATGGTGGTGGGTGACGATGGGGACTAACATTTATGAAGCACCTATTATATACCAGCTTCTTCACTTTTATTATTTCATTTAACCCTCATGACATGTCTCTGCAGTGATTTTGTTATTATTCCCATTTTTAGATAAGAAAATTTAAAGATCAGAGAAGTTAAATATTTGCCCATGGCCACACAGTTCATAAATGGCAGAGCCAACATGTAAACCAACATGTATGAATTTCAAAGCCCATTATTATCTCTACTATACTCATTTACTCCAAGATGAGGCTCATTTCACAGGGCAAGAATAGAAGTTTAAATTTATACTTCCCTTGAATCGCCATGTGTGAAAGAGACAGCAATACACACTTAATAAAGAGAGAGCAGAGCTTACTTTTGCCTTCATCGTGTCCTCCAGCTTATTCAGTTGGTGCTACACACAGTGAAATGAGTAATTATCCAGGATGGTTTTAATCAAAATGGAAGGTACCAATTAATAGATGAAAGTGCTGGCATACTTGCTAATTTAACGACTCTGTTCATGGTGCCAGTTTTCCAGTTAAAGAAGCGAGATGAGAAAACATTCCCCCATCCCTTCAACAAGACGATTAAATATAATCAAGTCTTTTTCTTGTGTCCAGTTGGTTTCTTATCTGAGAATAACACAAGGTTTTGATAAAATCGTGGGAGTGATCATCCCCTGGGCCAGTTGTCTTAGATATGGCATACTTGGGGTCCCCAATAGAGTCTGTGTGTATCCTCCGTTCAGAATGCTTCATTGCTCTCCCGTCACCACTCAGCCACCTCTCTGTGCCTTCCCATTGTTGAACACTACTAGGAGTCAATTTCTCTATGCCCACTCTTCAACCACCCCTACTTTATAGCATGGACGCTGCTTCATTGCATCCCTTTGCATATCTGTTTAATATATATATATTTATATATAATATACAAATATATATATATAATGTGTGTGTGTGTGTGTGTATATGTGTGTGTGTGTGTATATACACACACACACACACACACACAATATATATTTGTGCTTATTCCAGCCATGAACCTGGAAGGGACAGATCCACATACCATAGACCCCTCAGTCTGACTTCTCCTAGCCTCTGGTAAATGGACCAGAGATCAATGGCCAACACAAAGATAATATTTAATTTAACGGCCAGTAATCTACGACTTATGTAGTCTACTTAAATAATTGGGCTAAGTCTATAAGATTTTCCAAAGAATTCGAACTATGCCAGGAGATAGTATATGCTTCGGAACTATTTTGGTCATGTGCATGCTGATGAGTAAGCCCAAGAAGTCAGAGTTTAGAAGTTACTTGGCCAATAATTGGTGGAAGAATGATCTAGGCAGTAGTTATGTTAGTGATTTTACAGATGCAAATGGAGGATGAAGAAATGTTTCCTGAAGCAACTTAAAGACCCTTTTTAAGGTCTCATATTCAAGTCCATAAATTTTTACTTTATAGATGTAGCTTTGGTTCGATATTTCTTTGACTATAACTTTCCGCATTTCCCCTTTTATATCTTCAAGCCTTTATTCTTTATTCGTTATTGTCAGTAGCACTTGTTTTTTGTTTGTTTGTTTGTTTATTTGTTTGTTGTTGTTTTCTTTCTTCTCTTTTTCACTTATTTCCCATGTGAATCTTGATGTTTTCCTTCTGGTTATTTTGGTCTACATTTTAAAATCATTTGTGTTTCTTTATTAATTTGTGGAACAGATTCTGCTCTGGGCTCATTTCATCTCCTTCCACCAGAATGGATTCTTTTTCTCTAAATCTGCTACATCCCATGGAGCCCATAAAGCATTCTGAGAAGTTGCCCACATTTTTTTTTCTGACCATAAATCTGTATGGCCTAACATCAGACCAAATAATAAACTGAAGGTAGTTTTGCTAGAACTCCTAACATGCTGTAAACATATATCAATCTATCTTAGCCCCCTGTAGTGATTTGAATAGTAGCCCCCAAGAGATATGTCCAAGTCCTAACCTACAGCACCTGTGAATGTGATTTTATTTGAAAATAGGGTCTTTGCAGATGTAATTACATTAAGGACCTTGAGATGAGATCATCCTACGTTTAGGGTGGGCCCTAAGTCCA